AAGGTGACCCACAACGTGGTCGGCACCTTCGGGGTGATGCAGGGCAACGCCAGCGACCTGATGACCGGGCTGCCGACGCAGTCGGTGCGGGCCGCAGACGAGCGGCTGTATCACGAGCCGCTGCGGCTGATGACGGTGGTCGAGGCGCCGCAGGCGCGGGTCGAGGAGATCATCCGCCGCAACGACATCCTGCAGACGCTCTTCGGCAACGGCTGGGTGGCGCTGGCGGTGCTGGACCCGCAGAGCGGGCGGCTGCTGCGGCGGGCGCGCAACGGCACCTGGCGGCCGGCCTTGGCGCCGGACGCCGGGGGCGAGGGGGGCGCTGCGACGGTGGGCGACGAAGAGATGGGGGTCGCCGAAGAGATGGGGGTCGCGGAAGAGACGGCGGTCGCCGAAGAGACGGCGGCGCGGGCCGACCGGCCGGCCCTGGAAGTGGCATGATGCGAAAGACAGGTGGACTGCGCATGGTTAACGACGATCCCGAGCTGGTCTTCCACCCGCTCAAGAAGATCGAAATCATCGTCAAGGGCGACAAGAAGCAGTTCGTCGCGGAGCTGCTCGACCGCTCCGGGGCGACCGGCTACACCCTGATCAAGGATGTCGCCGGCATGGGCGAGCACGGCTTCCACGAAGGCCGGCTGCTGTTCAACGATCAGGCCAGCCTGCTGCTCTTCGTGGCCGTGGCCAGCGACGAGACCATCCGGCGGGTGGCCGCCGGCCTGAAGCCGCTTTTCGAGAAGAACACCGGCGTGATGTTCATCTCCGAGGCCCAGGTCGTCCGCCTGGAGCACTTCCTGAAGCGCGAGCAGGCCGCGGGCTGACCCCCCGGCCGGCGTCGCCGGTCCTGTCCGCCCCCCGCCACGCGCGGGACTGGACAGGGCCGCAGCGTCCGGGGCAATAGGGCGGGGGCCCATCCCTGGCCGGCGCGCGCGGCGTCTTCCACGTCGCCGGGCCGACCCTGCGGTCTCGCCTCGAGGGCCCGCGTCCCCGTCCGTCGGCGGGCGGGGCATCGGTCCTGGTTCTCTCCTGCCTTCGGACGGTTCTGTCTCGTGGATATCGATCTTGCGTTTCTCGCGCCCTTCGCCCTGGCGCTGCTGGCGACCGGCGCGCTCGCCGGCGTGCTGGCCGGCCTGCTGGGCGTCGGCGGCGGCATCGTCATCGTGCCGGTGCTCTACCTCGTCCTGCCCGCCCTCGGCGTCGAGCCGGCGATCACCATGCACATCGCCGTGGCGACCTCGCTGGCGACCATCGTGCCGACCGGCCTGGTCTCGGCGCGCAGCCACCTGCGGCGCGGCGGCGTCGACCTGGCGGTGCTCAAGCGGGTGGCGCCCTGGGTCGTGGTTGGCGTCGGCCTCGGCCTGGCGGTCGGCGCCCGCTCCGGCGGGGCGGTGCTGACGGCGGTCTTCGCCAGCGTCGCGCTGCTCGTCGCGGTCTACATGGCGACGACCCGCGAGGGCTGGCGGGTGGCGCAGCAGCCGCCGGGCTGGCTGGGCATGGTGCCGATCGGGCTGGGGCTGGGCGGCTTCTCCGTCGTCATGGGCATCGGCGGCGGCACCCTGGGCGTACCCACGCTGACCGCCTGCAACCTGCCGATCCGCAAGGCGGTCGGCACCTCGGCGGCGATCGGGCCGATCATCGCGTTGCCCGGCGTGCTGGGCTTCGTGGCCGCCGGCTGGGGGCATCCCGACCTGCCGCCGTTCAGCCTGGGCTACGCCAACGCTTTGGGCTTCCTGCTGATCGCGCCGACGACGATCCTCTGCGCCCCGCTCGGCGCCAGGCTGGCACACAGCATTCCGCCGGCCTGGCTGCGCCGCGCCTTCGCGCTGTTCTTGCTGCTGACCTCGGCGCGGATGTTCTGGGGCCTGCTGGGCTGACGCCGGCCGAGGGATTGCGGCCAGCGGACCTTGCCCGCCGGCTCTGGCCGCGCCGGCGCGGCGGCTTATGTCAGCGGCCATGAGGTCGCGCGTCGCTGTCCCGCTTGCCCCTTCCGTTGCCGTGGTCGGCGCCGGCCTGGCCGGCCTGACCTGCGCGCGCCGGCTGGCGGCCGGCGGCCTGGCGGTGCGTGTCTTCGAGAAGAGCCGCGGCCTGGGCGGCCGGCTGGCGACGCGGCGCAGCCGCGCGGGCTGGCACTTCGACCACGGCGCCCAGTTCGTCACCGCCCGCGGCGCGGGTTTCCG